TATTTGACAGAGAGAGACACAGCAAGAGAGGGAACACAAGCAGGGGGAGTGGGAGAGGGAGAAGCAGGCTTCCCACTGAGCGGGGAGCCCGATGCAGGGCTCGATCCCAGGACCCTGGGATCATGACCTAAGCCGAAGGCAGATGAAAGCTGTATTTTAAAACTCACTATGCTAGGGGCGCCTGGTGGCTCAGTCAGTTAAGCAGCTGCCTTCAGCCCAGGTTGTGATTCTGGGGCCCTGGGATCGAGTCCCATGTCGGGCTCTCTGTTGAGTGGGGAGCCTGCTTCTCCCTCTCCCTCTACCTGCTGCTCCCCCTGCTTGTACTCTAATAAAAAATAAAAAATCTTAAAAAAAAAAAACTCACTATGCTACCCTTCATGTATAATTTATTCTGGATTCTTTGGAGACTGTTCTCTCGGGTGCATTAAAAAAAACAAACAAACAAACCTCCTACTACCAATGGAAAGTTTTTAGAAGCCAGGTTTTAGCTCTAATTGTCTGCGAGTCCCCTGCCAACACTAATGGAACAAGCACCATAGTGAGTGGTTGCTATCAGAAAGGTTCCACAATTTAAAAAAACAAACAAACAGGAGCACCTGGGTGGCTCAGATGGTTAAGCGTCTGCCTTCAGCTCAGGTCATGATCCCAGGGTCCTGGGATTGAGTCCCACATCTGGCTCCTGGCTCAGCAGGGAGTCTGCTTCTCCCTCTCCCTCTGCCTCTCCCACTGCTCATGCTCTCTCTCTCTCTGTATCTCTGTGTCTCAAATGAATAAATAAAATCTTTAAAAAAATAAAAAAACAAACAAAAACTCATCTGTTATAAATAATCTTGATATGAATCACTCTGGTTTTCTTTCTTTCTGACATGTGTCTGAGTTTGTAACAGAAGTTCAAACCCAAACGCCCAGAATCTGATTTTATTTTATTTATTTAATATTTTATTTATTTATTTGAGAGAGAGAGAGAGTGAGAAAGAGAGAACATGAGCAGGGACAGAGGGGAAGGGAGAAGCAGACTCCTCTGCTGAGCAGGACAGCCCAACACGGTGTTCAATCCCAGGACCTTGGAATCATGACCTGATTCCTGAAGGCAGATGCTTAATCAATGAACCATGCAGGTGCCCCTGGAATCTAATTTTAGATAACAATTTTAATTATAAAACAAAAACATAAACCAATAAAAACACTCTTTTGGCTTTAAGACTGTGCTTTCATGCATCTGTGGAGTATGTTTTCACATACCCATACTCCTGAGTATGTGAAATTGGTACTTAGTCCATAACTCAGATCTTCAGTGAACAAGATGGCTCAAGTACATTTAACTCATACATTACAATTATATTATAACCCATAAAACCAAAATGGAAATATAGTTGACCCTTGAACAACATGGGGGTTAGGGACACTGACCTCCCCCACCCCAGTCAAAAATCTGTGTAACTTTTGACTCCCAGAAAACTTAACTACTAATAGCCTACTGTGGCCTGGAAGCCTTACCAATACCATAAACCATCAACTAAGATGTATTTTGTGTATGTACTTTATACATATTCTTATAATAAAGTAAGCTAGAGAAAATGTTTTAAAGAAAATCATAAGGAAGGGAAAATAATATTTACCGTATTGTACTTGTAAAAAATCTGCATGTAAATGGACCCAAGCAGTTCAAACCCATGTTGTTTAAGGGTCAACTCTAGTCGATCAAGTAACACCATCAAGCTCCAATTTTAATACAGTTTGAAACTTAGTTCTGCATCTATATATCCTTCCCTTTGTCCTTAGCATCACAACACAAATAATCAGGGTAGCAACATGCTTTAAAATTTTTCTTCTTTCCAGACTCCTTGTAGCTAAATGCAAAGGAGACATAGCGCAAGTTGCTGGACAGGATTTCTGGGAAAGATATTTAAGGTGGCGCTCAGCTGGTATGTCGTTCAGTCCTCATGCTCTCCCCACTTCTTCCTGCCCAGCCCAGAGGTGCAGGAGCATCTAGAGATGCTAGACATGTGGCATGTAAAGAAGGGTAGAGCAAGGAAATTGGAGGAGACTGCGTCTCCAATGACATCTTTAAATGGCTGCCCCATTCAGGGACTACTTCCAGAAACAAAAGAAAAATAAGACACCCAATGCACTGCAAATTGGGTTTTCTGTGCTTGGGGCCAAATATAATCCCAAAGTAGATACAGAAACAACTGCCTCTTAAAATAAAAGCCAAACACATATAGGTTTAATAGAGATGGGAGGGCAGTAACTTTGTATCTAAAGGACTCAAGGCACTTTCTGAATTATCTAATTTATAACTTTAACATACCAGGAAATATATGGTCCCATAAGTATTTGGAACAACTCACATAATAGCTGCCTTTTTTTTTTTTTTGAAGATTTTATTTATTTATTTGACAGAGAGAGACACAGTGAGAGAGGGAACACAAGCAGGGGGAGTGGGAGAGGGAGAAGCAGGCCTCCCACAGAGCAGGGAGCCCGATGTGGGGCTCGATCCCAGGACCCTAGGATCATGACCTGAGCCGAAGGTAGACGCTTAACGACTGAGCCACCCATGCGCCCCATAATAGCTGCTTTTGTCAGCCAAATAATGAAAACCTCTTAAATGCTAAAAACTGGCCAAATATAAAAGTGAATGTCACATAAGGACAGACAATAGAGTCTAGAAAGAAACCCATACATTTACCGTCACCTGATTTTTGACAAGGGAGCCAATTCAAAAGAGAAAGGATAGTCTTTTCAACAAATGATACTGCAAAAGATGGATAGCTGTGTCCAAAAGAATAAAGCTGGACCTCTACCTCACATCATATATAAAAAGGAGCTCAAAATGGATCAAAAACCCAAATGTAAGAGCTAAAAGTAGAAAACACTTAGGAAATCAATAGTTAGGTGTCTATTGATGCTTTGGATACACTATGGTTCTTTAGACGTAACACCAAAAGCACAAATGACCAAAGAAAAAATAGACAAATGATAATTCACCAAAATTAAAAACCTCTGTGCTGGGGCACCTGGGTGGCTCAGTCAGTTGGGCATTTGCCTTTGGCTCCGATCATAATCTTGGGTTCCTGGGATTGGCCCCGCATCAGGTTCCCTGCTCAGCGTGGAGTTTGCTTCTTCTTTTCCCTCTTTCTGTCTCTCCCCTCCACCTGTGCTCTCTCAAATAAATAAATAAAATCTTTTAAAAACAAAACAAAACATTGGGGCGCCTGGGTGGCTCAGTTGGATAAGTGTCTGCCTTTGGACCAGGTCATGATCCCAGGGTCCTGGGATCGAGTCCCACATCGGGCTCCCTGCTCAGCGGAGAGTCTGCTTGTTCCTCTCCCTCTGCCCTGCTCGCGCTCTCTCTCAAATAAATAAAATCTTTAAAACAAAACAGAACAAAACAAAAACCTCTGTGCTTCAAAGGACGTAAGTGAAAAAACCCTATAGAAATGGGGGAAATTTTCTGCAAATCATGTATCTGATAAGGGCCTAGTATTCAGAATACATATAAAGAACTCTTACAACTCGACAAAAGATAAATAATTCAAGTTAAAAAATGGGCAAAGAATATAGGTATAGAACCAAGAGAAATGGAAACCTATGTCCACACAAAAATTTGTATAGGAATGTCCTGCAACATTGTTCGTAACAGCCCAAACTTGGAAACCATCCAGATGTCCATAAACTGATGGATAAACAAAATGGGATATAAATATATATTATATACATATAAAACTACATATAATATATATAATATTCCATTGTATGTCCAGTGTGTATACTGGAATATTATTCAGCCATAAAAAGGAATGAAGCATTGACACTGGCTGAGACATAGATGAATCTTGAAGACATTATGCTAAGTAAAAGAAGCCAGATATGAAAGGACAAATGTTGTTGGATTCCACTTATATGAGGTGCCGTAATAGGCAAATTTAGAGGTTGAAAGTAGAGTAGAGATTACCTGGAGCTGGGGGTTACAGTCACCAGTAGTTTAATGGTTAGTGTTTCTGTTTGGGGTACTGAGAAAGTTTTGGAAATGCATAGCGGTGATGGTTGCACAGCATTGTGAATGTAATTAATACCAGTGAACTACACTTAAAAATGGTTAAAATGGGGGCGCCTGGGTGGCTCAGTCG